TACTGGCGACAAAAGTAGCTCACAATTCAGAACGCACAATGGCACAGGCCGGGGCAAAGAGTGTGGCACCACAAAGCCCTTGCCTGGTCTGCACCACATTGCTTATTTAATGAGATTAACGTCTAAAGACAAATGTCATGTGCATGTTAACTGGAGGAGGATGTGGATGGAAAAGAACGGGTATCTTCTGGCTATACACGTTGAGAGCAGAGCAGGGTGTCCTCTGTCCTCTGTCCACTGGCCTCCTGGTTGCTGCTGCGGTTTCGGACAGTTTCTGCTTCTGTCGCCATAAAAGGCAGAAGGCGGCACATTAAAAATTCTAAAATGTGTTTTTGCCAGCCTACCGCCAGCCGCTGTACCTCTGGCAGCTCCATAACCTGCAGACGGCCCAAAAGAGAGACGTAACCAAAGCAAGGCATACGAGTGCTCGTAAAAAAAAAAAAAAAAACAAGATCCTCAAACGCTGACTCTTCTGCTCTTGTGCTCTTGTGCTCTTGTGCTCCCGTGGCTTTAAGTTTCAGCTTCAACTTCAAAGTGGCCGAATGCCATTCCGATAACTGCAAAGGCAGACATTCGATTCAGATGCCATGGCCAAATGGGAGGAGGACCATAGAAAACTATGGCTGAAAACGATGACAGCTCAAGTAGCAGTGGCAGCAGCAGCAGCAGCAACTGTGGCAGCAACAGCCGAAGCAGCAGCAACAGCAGCCTTGACCGAAGTGAAAAGTGAAAAGCTGTCACCAGTTTCTGTCCCGCTGACCATCTATTAAATATGTATGCGGAAAAATCATCCAACTATAAAAGAGCTAACGAGCTGTAAACTATGAAAAAAGCAAAGCTCTTTCTGCTTAAATTGAGCTATAAATTTCGACTATAAAGCAGAATCAAGAATAATCAGCGGTAGAGTTGCAGAAAATAAAGATCCCAAATCTTGATTTAAGCGAGTACCGGGTATAAAAACTGATAATGGAACAACCATGGAATTACTTTGTAGAGTAAGATCTTTACTTTATCAGGAGAGTGGAAATTGATGCCTGATTCTGTTGCTAAGATTGCTAGCGACGAGTAATTATTAAGTACGAGTAGTAAATAATTAGTAAAGAAGTACGAGTATTGAGCAACTAGCACTAAGTAAAAACAAGAAACGGATAAAAACTAACGAGTGTTAATTAACGAGTGGTACTAAGTAACGAGTGGTATTAAGTAACGAGTGGAATTAAGTAACTACCTGAACGAAGTAACAAGTGGTATGAAGTAATGAATGGTACGAAGTAACGAGTCGTACGATGTAACGAGTGGTGTGAAGTAACGAGTGGTACAAAGTAACGAGTGGTGCGAAGCATGAAGTAACGAGTAGTATAAACTAACGAATGGTACGAAGTAACAAGTAGTATGAAATAACTAATATTAAGTGAAAAACGATTAGTAAATTAAGTCCCAGAAGTAACGAGTAATGATTTAGTAAAAACTAGTACTCGTTTTACCCAAACCTTTAAGATCTCAACGTCTACTCCACTCGCACTCTCCCCCACTCTCCCCCTCCGTCTGCCTATCTTTCTGTTTCTATCGATAATATCCTCCTGCGCCCTCTTGAATGGCGCTTGGGGGCGAATTGCAAAATGCTTTTACAAATTGCTTTGGCCAGGGGATTTTACAGAAGATTTTCATTAAGCGTCAAGTCCAGTCCAGTTCAGGCCAGGACATAATACCGCAAATTAATGTAATGACAGAGACACACTCACACAGATGGAGGACATATATATAGATAAGGACTAATGCCAATACAAATAGAAGCAAAGACATCTGCTGTTCATGTGACAAACACTTTAGATGGTAAGCGGATTAGGTCAAAACTCGTAAATGACTTTTAAATCTAATACACTTGAAATGCAGAGACAGTGGCGACCCCACAACGGATGTCCCTTTAACAAATCATCAGTCAAAGAGAGAGAGATACATATAGAGATACAGATACAGATACTCCTCCTCCCAGATAAAGGAACACATGGCATCAGGGCTCCAGGCTGATTTGCCGATTGTCACAGCGACATGCGTCTCAATAATTCATCATGAAGGCCAAAAGGCGTCGCAAAGATTTCAGACAGGGCCTTCTCACAAGCCACGGCTTCGACTTCGATCCCGACATGGCGGCAAATTGCGTTGACGCGGTTGCACGTTGTCACCGCAGAGAACGTGTGGCAGTGGCAACACCCCCAGCCCCCAGCCCCCAAACCCCAACCCTTCACAGTGACAATGATGAATAAAAGGCGATAAATCTCGCCAAAAGAAACACAGAGCCCAAGAAAAACTCTACAACGGATTTGGCTCAAGCCAAAGCACAGAAAAGAAGGTAAAACAGAAGCCAGAGCCAGAGCCAGGCCAGGCCAGGCCGGAGACGGAGGCGGAAGACATTTGTTTCAGCCCTGGAGCTGGAGGAAGGGGAGCAAAGGGGTGCACAAGTGGTAGGCCGCCCTGATGACGTCCACTGATTTGCACGGGGGAAAAAGTGAGCAGCAGCTTGCGTGGGCCTTCGTGGATGTCAACTTCTGTCGCCTGATGATGATGGTCGGAGGGTCGGATGTCAGGGGGGGGCCGAGAGCTCGAGACGTCATCGCAACGAGGGTTGGTCGCACAATTACGCCACAAGCATCCGTATGAGACGCGTGTAATCGGTTATAATGTATCCCCCGACTAGAGCTGTCCGTTCCAGTCTTAATAATGTCTTTGGGAATGATAAACGATGTCAGGGCCGACAAACAGATGTTTCAATTATGAAAGGGTTGCCTAAAGAGAGAAGCTTTTCCCTTTAATCGACGCCTCTTTACAAAAATCGATCTATTATTGCCTATCGGCCACGGCACATGTCTAGCTTCGCCTGCAACTGAATGGAAGTCACGTGAGGCAGCTGCCGCAGCAAAGTTTATGCCTCAACGACAACACAATCGAAGCTACGGATGCGGATGCGGATGCGGATACGTCTGAGGAGGATGAGGACGAGGACGAGGTTGGTACGTGGGCGCCATAGCCGCAGATCATTAGCGTTGCCAGCCGCAAAAAACACAAAAAATAAATAAATAAAATAAGGAAGGAAGGAGAGTGACACAAACGACGACAGCAGTCCCCGTGGCGGGGTAAACGTTTACTTCTTTGCTCAAGAAAATAAAAATATAACAACTTTGAGGCTCTGCCACTGACAGGCGTGCGCGTCGCGGCCCCAACTTGAAGAAGTTTTATGTTTTATGTTTTATGTGGAAGAAAAAAGTCTGATTTATGTTTAATGGCTTGCAATATTCAAGTGGAAGGCAAGTTATTGCTGCTGTCCAGGACAGTGTTTATTATTTTAGTGCCTAGAGGGAATCAGGAAGCAGGAAGCGGACAGCAGAAAACAGACCAATGGGTAATTAGGATCATGGCAATTGCTGGACGGCCAAAAGATGGCCCTAACTATAGGGGGAATATAAGCTGATGAAGCGCCTTCAAGGCTTCTTGAGGTTATTGTTTAGAAGCTACAAAAACATGTGCCTTAATCCTTCGATATATCTCTCTATTGTGTACAAATGTATAGGGAAGGGAAGTATAGGGGATCTAAGGGAACCACCCACCTAGTAAGCACTATTTCCTTTGTCATTTTATTATCCACACATTTGTGGAATAACCTTAGGCACTCTCCCACCTCAGACACAAATTAATTTCGAAATAGTTGAGCGGCTCTGACACATGCAAAAATCTTTCAACTTTCAATTAACGTACGGCCAACTGTTGAGCAACTCATTTTCCTGTAAATTAAATTAATTAGAGAACAAAAGAATGTCATGAGAGCATAATAAGATAATTTACAAAAAGCCAAGGAGGATAGCCGAGGCTTTGCATACCCTACCAGATCCAGATTGTTCGATGCTAAGATATCTTTGTGCTATGGGGATCCAATCTGGGTCTCTTTGGGGAACTGCCAAACATCTGGTCCACACAATATACCCTGCGTAAGGGGCATAAAAAGCGGGGAATCAAGCTAAACTTTTTTAATTGCATTCAATGTAGAGCTGCCAACTACGACGACAAGGATGGGAAAGAGAGAGAGTTCCACAAAAAACTGAGAAAGAGATAGGAGGAGAAAACTCCATGATGATGAAGTTGCCAACGTTGACGAATTGCTTGGGTGGAGCGGGGTGGGTCGGATGGGTGGATGCATTCCTTGCCATCACTTAATGACATTTTCATCAAGATCCTGCCTGCCCCTGCCCCGTAGCGCCCTCCTCCTCATTATCATTATAATTGTCATGCTGATTTTTGTGCTCCTGCTCGGCAGCAAAGAGAGAGAGAGAGAGAGAGAGAGAGACAGCCCCACAGCCACAGCATTTTCTACATTTGTTCGGTGGAAAAGTTTCCTTCCTTTTTTTTTTTTGGTAAAGTAAAAGTTCTTTCATATTGTGATTTGTGTGCAGTGAGTGAATTGTTGTAGGAATTCAACGACTTTCCTCTCCCACAGGCACAAGCATGACTTACATATATTTCTTTTTTTTTTTTTTAAGAAAGTGCGTTCGAGTGCATACGTAATTATATTTAATCGTGGAATGTGAGGCACAACAAAAAATATATATAAAAAGAAAAAAGAATATTAATGATTGCCGAAACCCGGGATTGAACCGGGGACCTTTAGATCTTCAGTCTAACGCTCTCCCAACTGAGCTATTTCGGCACTTGAGCAACAGGTGTCAAAAGCTCCCTATACGCGCAGGGAGAGAGAGGGAGAGAGAGAGGGAGAGAGAGAGACACAGAAGCACTATCCGAGAGATAACGATTCAGCCTCGTTCAAATCCAAGGGCATATTGCAATTATTTGCTTTCGAAAACACTTATTCTGATAATTCTGTTTTCTATTTTAGAAGTTTTTTGTGGAAGCAACATTTTCGATTTTAGTGATCAGTAAACTCATAGTTATTTTCAAATATTACAATCTTTATCGTAACGAAAACGAAAATAATGAGCAAGCGCAGAGTCTCAATGCGAGACTTTTGTCTGGAACTACCCAAGCGACGGCAGTCCATTGGCAGTGTCCTGGCCTGCGACACGTCTGACCGCCTCACGGAGATACAGAACATCCCTGATCCCGTTGATGTGTGTGCGGGTGGGCAGCACTCGCTGGTGCTGACGCAGAGTGGGGATGTCTACTCTTTTGGCTGCAACGGCGAGGGCGCTCTGGGCAGGAGTACCAGTTCCAGTGAGCCAGGCAGCGAGTCCTTGCCCGCCTTGGTCGATCTGCCGGGCAAGGCCCTGTGCATCACTGCAGGCGGCTCGCACTCGGCCTGCCTGCTGGCGAATGGCAGCGTTTACGCGTGGGGCTCGTTCCGCCTCACGATCGATGGCATTGCACTGAAACCCACTCAGATCTTGGCCGGCACCGAGTGCTGCAGCATTGCCTCAGGCAGGAATCACTTGGTGGTTCTATCAACTCGCGGCAAGGTCTACACAATGGGCTGCGCCGAGCACAGACAGCTGCGGAGCATCCCAGAGCGCTCAGTGCTCCGCCCAAATCAAATAAATATCCGTTCCGCCAATCCTTTCAATGCCATTTGGGCCACAAACACCTGCTGCTTCCTGCGTGAATCGCAGACGGAAACCATCTGGGCCGCTGATCTGAACAACTGCCAGCACTTCGCGCCAATCAAGACAACCCTCAAGGACGTCACTCAGATTGCTGGCGGGGATCAACATACCTTGATGCTCCAAGGGAATCGCCTATTCTCTGTCGTTGGGCTGGGCGAAAGCGGTACCGAAATCGTGTCCCAACTGGCGCCCGTCAGGAATCTGGAGTGCAGCAACATTGTGTCTGTGGCCTGCGGAGACGTTTGGTCCTATGCCATCACCGAGGATGGTCTTCTGTATTCCTGGGGCACGGACTCCAGCAAGGCCGGCAAGGATGATAAACCGACCCGTGTCATCAGCCGGAATACCGCCAATAAAAAAATACTCCTAGTATCTGCGACGGCACGTCATGCTCTCTTCCTGGCCCAGTTTAATCCTTATGTATTTAATTCTCTGAAAGACAATCTTCTTACATTTCCATAGACACACATTTAGTTTCTTCTCCTCCCATTTTTCCTTTTTATTTTGCATTAATCTTTGGCTATTAATTTTTGTAATTTTCACACCGTCAAACAAACTTTGATGTGCCACGACGACTGCACCACGCCATGCCACACGCCCCGTTTGTGCAAAAACAAAATGTACAATTATTAAACTTTTAATCAATTTATCAATATTAACTTTTTGCTTGTGGGCAGGGGGTGGCACAACTTTTCCCAGGCCCACCTCTAACTTTTGCCATTGGTGGGAAAGGGGAGCGCAGCAAGGAGATTCTGCTCAATTTTCGCCGCCAGTCGTTACGCCATTTCAATTACTGGCCAAGTGCCAGGACACAGGACGAAGAGCCAGGCCAGCTGGACAGCTGGACGATCGGTGGCAAATTTATAGAGACAAAAAGCTAGAAAACGAGACCCACAGACCATAGCCAGAGCGAACAAAGGAAGTGAGTAAAATGTGTAAAAATGGTGGCACATCCCGGGCATTGGGGGATGATGATGCTGCTTGCTGCTTGCTGCCTGCTGCACTTGTCATATTACTAATTTCCCTGGTGACCAAGAGCCATTGAACTCCTGAACAAAATCGTGTGTGTATGTACAGGGTTCAATCGTTAAACGTTCAATCTGCTGCATCAACGGGTTGCAACAGCAACAGCAGCTGCAACTGCAGTGGAGGCAACTTTTTGATTAACGCCATTATGAGGTGATTGTCCAGTTAAGGTTGGAGGCTTCTATCAGGCTGCTCTCCTCTGAACCTGGAACGAGTCCTGCTGCCCGTGTCTCTGCCTGCCTGCCTGCTACCAAATTGCACTCATGTGTGTAATTTATTTTCTCGGCATGAGAAAAACTTCCTAACCGGAAAATGAGGCACTCAATTAAGAAAACGTTTAATCCATGAAATGTTCCAATTGCAGACACACACATAGACGGACTGCAGCGGCAGTCGACAGGGGAACGACGGGAAGGAGGATGAATGCCCTGAATGGCTCGAATGGCCAGAATGTGCAGAATGGTCTGAGGAATGGGCGAGGGGGGGATGGGGAATGGGGCTCGGGGACTGGATGAACGACATTGCCCAGTGGGGGCTGTAAAAATTGCTGTCTATATAATTGATTGGGTGTGCCTTTTGGATTTACTTTGCTCTCTGCCTCTGCCTCTCCCTCTCTCTCTCTCTTTTGCTCCTTTTATTTTTTGTGCTTAAAGCACATCCCAGTGATTTGTAATTCCCATTTCAAATTACATGGCCAAATGTTCCTCTCCATTTAAAACTGAGCCCAGAGACTGAAGAAAACTAAGCGCAGCATTTCCTGATATTAATTGTATTTGAAAATGGGCCTTAAGGAGGCTTTAAAGGAGTGTGGGGATTATTTATCGTATTTTGGGGCTTATTTCATTGTAAAAAGTCTACAATCTCTGTGGGAAAGGGTCTCTGTTTTTCGAATGTGAAACGAATGAGTGTCCATTCGTTTATAGGAAATTTTTTGATCCAAGAACAGTGATGCCCATTGGAACAGTGGAACCATTGAAACAATTAGAAAATCTGGAACATATGGAAGTCAAAAGGAATACCTTTACCATCAATGAATATTCCTCTTCTTTTGTTCAGAATTCGTATGAATGATTGCCTTTATCTGGAAGTACACTATCATCGCTTTAATTATGCATCTCACATACTCTCACAATATTTTTCAACAAAACTAAATATAGACAAAGCCAAAACGGGCGACAACTGCGATTATCAATTCACATTCACATTCACAATTTACTTAACAGAAATATAAATGGAATCAAAGTAGTATGTAAATCCAGATGGAGACAAGTGAAGAGGAAACAAAGAGACAGCGACAGGGGCAGGGGCAGGGCGTAGGGAGTTTTTAGGGAGAACAAAAGCCACCGATGTTACAAGGGGGAATTTATATACTTTTTTTAGTTGTCGCATTTCCGCCCTTTCCGACAGCGACTGCCAAAAAATATGCATATGGAAATGCAGAGACAATGACTGGGGGGAATAGAAAGAGAGAGAGAGAGCAGTGTACATATGCGAGGATTGGAGTTTTTGTGGCACATAAGACGTGTGGAAATTATGCGAGGCGCGTGTCAAGTGGCACAAAACTGTAAGAAAACTTTTGCCAAGTCGGTGGTTGCCTCCATTCCTCGCCACCATCTCCATTCCTCGCCAGCCCACCCATTCCCATACCACCATTCCACTCAACGTCTGCAATTACATTCTGAATTAAATTGTAATGAGGCGCATGCGGCGAAATATGAAAATGAGACCCCGCGACGTAGCGGAATCGAGTCGATGTGGAGTGGAGCCTCCGCCACTGGAGGAGACTCCGCACACAAATGGCAATTAACAGTTATGTTTGCTGTTCCAACACGTTGCAGACAGTTTTAATGACGGGTCGGGACGGTCGGAACGGTCGGGATGGGACGACGCGATGCGACGCGGACTCGAGGCAAAACTATTTTTAGGTGACTTGGACTTGGACATCCCCAGCTCCCCATGCCACAGGAAGTAACTGTTCGCCTCGCCTCACCCCCCCTCTACCATCACCCCATCACCGCGTAATTGGCTGAAAACGGAAGTTCGTGTAATTTAAACTCGATGGTGGCAACTCTGGTCAACATCTGGCGGCCAAGACATTTACTCCGGAATGGGTGGTTCAATTGCGCGGAAGATGCCAATAAAGAAAGAAAGAAAGACCTTGAGGATTGGACATTCCTCAAGGAAGCTCAAGTGGGAAAAAGGTGTGTTCCACAGTTCTCCCATTCCACTGTTCCCTATTAGCTAACACCTTAGTACGATTAGCTACGTTGGAGGATTATATTTATTTATGACTTAAGACTTGCGTGGCTTCTTGGTCTCGCCACAGCCCAAGAGGACATCAGTGCCTGTGGCCTGAGCCTTGCCAGTGCTGGTGTTGTAGTACACCCGTCGCTCGATGCCTTCCTTGGTGATGATCGCGATGCGCGATACTCCCCCGGAGAAGGAATCGTGATGGATGGCCTGTTTGAGGGCCGACCTGAAAAGCAGCACCAACTCCTCTTTCTCCATGTTCGGACGGTAGCCGTCCCGGAGCATGCCACTAATGTATATGGATCCAGATCCGCCATAGCTCAACTGTTCGCGCATCATCATGCCGCCCAGCGCAATGTTGTACACCTGGGCCCCGTGCAGATCGTCCCAGCCACCCACAATGATGCCGGCATACAGGTATGTGCGACCGTTGTAGCACTTGTCCCGGAACTCCGCGGCCACGTCGCGCACTAGGGTCTTCTCCCCCGTGTGCATCTCGCGATGCCACATCAAATTCGAGACCACCTCAGAGAGCTCCTGGGTGTCCGCCGCAGAGCCACTGCGGCAGCAGTAGACGTTATCCGTGATCCGAGTCACTTTGTCCGTGATTCGATTGGCCACATGGCCCCCAGCGGTGGTGCGGGAATCAGCACCCAGCACCACGCCACCGTCAAACTCGGCCGCCATGATGGTGGTGCCACACTCGACTGGAGTGAAGGAATTTATTAAGTCCAAGTCGAGCCAAGATAATTTACTCATTTTGTTTTCTTTTGGAGCTATGAGAAGTTCTAGCCAGTGACTGTTAGATTAATGTTTCGGAAGACAGAGGCGAGGCCTACTGCTGTAAGATCGAGTGAAAACTTGTAACGTTTCGAGCTCTTTGAACGCTTCGAGTGCTTCGAATATTTCGAATGACTCGAATGGCAGTAATCTGTGATGCAGTTGTCCTCGAACTTTGGAGTTCACATATCACATAATACGATGGGGTTATATTTCAGAGTGTTTGAAGTACGATTCCATTCCTCCATCACATCTCGTAGCACTTGCTCCTTTAAATATCTGAAACTGCGCAGAGATACTCTTTCGATGGCTTCTCCCCAAGCGATGTCTCGTTTTATCTCCCCCTCCAGCATCCCGGGGCATGCACTCTACTTTTCCTGATTGCCTGCCTGTGATGTAATCAGAAAGTCCTTGCACGTATCCAGAAATAAGCATAAGAAACATTTCACAAAATGTCCACAAAAATTACATAGAGGAAAGGCGGGGGCGGGCATTTTTTACAGTGTGTATGTGTGTGTGTGAGTGTGCAGGATGCAACGCAAGAGAGTGCCACAAAACGATCAACATTAACTGCCGTTGGCCCCCTCAACAGCCGCGCCCACTTGATAGACGTAATTTTGCAGCAAGTGTTGCGCCGCCCACTTCGAGGCAGGGGCAAGATGAAAGAATACGAAGCTGAAGTGGCAGCAGCAGCAGCAGAAGAAGAGTGCATTTAAATGACCGTTTTGTCGCAGCTCCTCTAATGACAACCACTTGCGGCTGTCAAATGCAACTCTGCACGGCACGCAGGGTTGTAATATTTTATGGGCAACCCTGCGGAGATGCCTGATGTTTGTTTTTTTCTTTCTTTTTTTTGACCAACACAATGGAAAATGGCATATGAATGGCATTACCCCTACGATACTGCTCTCCAGCCTCCCCTCTCATTTGGCGCACTCATAATTTCCCCATTAACCTTATTTTCCTGTTATGCACGAGTGGCCCCTCCAAGATGATATCGTCACCCTTCTGCTATGGGGTGTCCGTCCAACCCCGTTTGGAGAACGCTTTTTTACGATGAATTCTCCCATTTTCTCCTCTGCTTCTGCTCCCTGATGGATTTTAAATGAACTTTAACACGTGCGCGATGTCCCTGGTGGTCCTTGGGAGCGGAACGAAGCTAAGTAATTGGTTTAGCAGTGCTCTCGAGGGCGTGGCACGAACGGGTTCGTTTCACAGATTATACTCGGAGTTGATTTTGAGAGAGCTAAACTAATAATAAAAACGTTTCATTCCGCTCAGAGTTCAGGGCAACAGATGGTGCCACGATGAAATGAAATTCTTCTTTCCTAATGAGATATTGAGTATAATGAAAATTGGATCGTTTTATCAAAGCGGGAAATTACCTTTAGCCCTGCAGAGCTTAT